ACTGTTTAAACAGCTCTAAACAAATATGTGTCTGGATTTTGATGTGAGAGACAACAGCAGATGCACTTTTACACTAGAGGAAGCGTTATTATGGATTATGGACTCGTATTTTGGCCAGAAGTGGTGGTTTGAATTTAAAATGCTAGATTAGAAGTTACGTTGATGGTTTTGTTACTTACAAACACGCAGCTTTTGGCTTCATAAGATGTTAACTGATGGACTGGAGTGGAGTGGATTACTTGTGGATTATTGTGATGTTTTTATCAGCTGTTTGGACTCTCATTCTGACGGCACCCATTCACTGCAGAGCATGCATTGCTGAGACACTGATGCAATGCTACATTTCTCCAAATCTGATGAAGAAACAAAGCTGGGCGACTCCATCTGAGTTCGCAGCTCAGCTGCAACAGATTTGTGTGAGTTGTGGCACGCGGCCAGAACAGCGTGCCAGATGCACTCACTAACCTCTTTTGAGGGATTTTAGGACAAAGAAACGAAGAAAGCCAATATACAATCACTTTGTGTTTGTGACTGTTTCCACAACAGATCCTGCTCATTTCATAGAAAGCAAAGCCATTATTTTTCAGGGTTCAGGTCATGATAATGACTAACAGAAACGTAGTTTCTCGAAATCCATTTTTTCTCATGCATAGTCACCCAAATGTATTTAATTTTCTTAGATGCAAAATATCAAACCAGGCAGCATGTTTTAAAGCACAAAATCACAAGCACACATTTCATTTGGATTTTTGTTGGTGTTTGCCCGGGTTTTGACTGATGTTCTGAATTGTTTTTAGGGTGGTTTCTTAACATCTTCACCTGGTTTATCATCCACTGCCTAATGCAGTGTTTCTCGACCCTGGTCCTGGGCGCCCCCCAGCACTGCACATTTTGTGTCTCCCTAATCAAACACACCTGATTCAACTCATTAGCTCATTAGAAGAAACTCCAGGACCAAACCTGATGAAGAAACAAACTCATCTACATCTTGGATGGTCTGAGGGTGAGTAAATGTTCAGCAAATTTTCATTTTGGGGTTAACTATTCCTTTAAGTGGTGAACAGTTTCATTGCTTTTTTTTAATGTTAACCTTTAGAGCGAGAGTCAGAGATCCATCTGATTTCAGTCGGTTATTTCATCAATGTCTGATGTTTCTCACTCTATTGTGTGTGCCTATTTTTGTTCCTTTCAGAAGAAAAAAGGCTCCAAAGACACTCTCTCAGAGAGCTCCGAGCAGGACGCAAAAAGCACCGCCAAGGTGGTGAAGACCGTACACACATCTCGAGTGAAAACAGAGACGTGACCGTTTTCACAGTCGACGTGTCAAGGACGAACAGCAGGTTTGCCAGTGAAATGAAAAGTCAGGTGGAGCCTGTATGAAAACACTGAAGTTATGCAGATAAAAACACACCTGATTCAACTCATGAGCTCATTAGAAGAAACTCCAGGACCTGAAATGGATGTGTCAGATAAGGGAGACATACAAAATGTGCAGTATTGGGGCGGCGCCCAGGACCAGGGTTGAGAAACACTGGCCTAATGCTGTGGTTCCCAACCCTGGTCCTTGAGGCACCCCAACACTGCACGTTTTGCATGTCTCCTTAATCAAACACACCTGATTCAGGTCATCAGCTCATTAGTAGAGACGCCAAGACCTGAAATTGGTGCATCATAGAAAGGAGACATGCAATATGTGCAGTGTTGGGGTGCCTCAAGGACCAGGGTTGGGAACCACTGGCCTAATGCAATGGCATTTTTAAGTGTCTAAATCAGGGCTGTCCAAACTCGGTCCTGGTGGGCCGGTGTCCTGCAGAGTTTAGCTCCAACCCTAATTAAACACACCTGAACCAGCTAATCAAGCTCTTGCTAGGCATAGAAACTTCCAGTCAGGTGTGTTGAGGCAAGTTGGAGCTAAACTTTGCAAGTTTGGACAGCCCTGGTCTAAATGCATTTTAGGGTGACTGTACATGTCAGACTCTGTTCCGTGTTTTGTGTGTGTTCTGCTCCCCATGTGTTTCCATGTCCTTATTTGGTCTTCCTGTTCCTGCCCTGATTGTGTTTATTTGATCCCAGCTGTGTCCCATTGATTTCCTTGTTTCTGATTATTTAAACCCTGTTTTTCTGAATTTCCCTTGTCAGGAATTGTTCGTCTTACCCCAGTGCTACGTGTGCTTTCCTGGTGAGCTGTTCATTAAAGTTCTGTTTATTGGAATCTCCAACGTCTACACATCTCCTTGCTCTAGCACAGTAGGCACGCATGACAGTACACTATCCTGGAGGTTTTTATGATTAGAGCCCAACAGAAAGCCAGAGCTGCAGCTGTCCAGAAGAGCAATGACAGTCATCTGTAATAATTGGCTAACAGTGCTGTTTGCAGGGGAAGGACGGTATCCTGTTTACATGAAGCCCATTGCACAAGGCTGTTGTCCTGCAGCGCTCAGTAAACAGGAAGTTGTATAGGCCGCTACGCTCCGATAATCTTGTTTGCGTTCCCAAATGAATTCATTTAGTAAAATATTGCTGCAGAACACAAAGAGAAACTTCAACGCCATTGTAGTGAAATCCTGTGCAAGTTCCTGCAGCCTATAGGATGATAAAATGATTACATGAACCCTAACAATAACTGCACCAAATATTAGTGTATTTTAAAATGTATGCATTTAATTTCATCAGATAAAATCTACTGTTTTCATATTTTGTTGTCTAACGCAAGTCAAGTCGAATGACACCAGAAGACTCGCACATTCAAGTAACAAATGGCCACGCCGCTCCTTCGTTAAAAAATAAGGTGTATAGACTTATGCAATAATTATGGAAGACCGTTTCTGCCATGGAATAAAAAAAACTTTTTATCACACATGCTTTTTTTAAAAAAATTTTTTTTATTATTATTCATCAAAGAATCCTGAAAAAATCATTGCAGGTTTCAAAAAAATCAGCAGCAAAAAAAAAAAAAAAATGTTTTCAACATTGATAATAATAAGAAATGTTTCTTGAGCAGCAAATCAGCATATTAGTATGATTTCTGAAGATCATGTGACACTGAAGACTGGAGTAATGGTGCTGAAAATTCAGCTTTGATCACAGAAATAAATTACATTTTAAAAGATGTTCACATAGAAAACAGCTATTTTAAAATGCAGTAATATTTCACAATTATATGTGTATGTCATGTGGACATTTTTTAAGAATGACAGAACTGTCCCAATAGTTTTTGGGACTGCTACAGTATATGTGGTTTTGCAAATGTAATCCTTTAAATAAAGAGTACAGGAGCTCGTTCTTTAGTAACCTTTCAGTCAGAGACAGATTGAAGTAGATCTTGTTTAATCCTGCAGCCCATTTCCGTAGAACTGGACACCTTCTAATTCTGCCAAAATGTGGTTAAAAGCACCGGGGTTATTTGATGATAGCGTACACATGATCGTTAATGAAAGGCCTTTTTGTGCAGAGATCATTAAAACCAACAGATGGAGAACCAACAGATTTGAAAGTAGGATGAAGGGCGGTTCAACTGTACAAATCATTTTCAAATGGTCAGCGATGAGCTTCAGCAGAGCTGTTTCAGTGCCATCTGTGGAAGACTTTTAGACGAAATGATCAGCTTATACCAGGATCCGTGCCTCGGCATTCCAAATTCCGCTTGGAGGCCCTTTCCATGTGATTACAACTGTGAAAAGATTTCTTGTCCCCTCAGAATATAACCACGGAGTCTGTCTAATAGACATAATCACAGAGCGAGACTTTCCATAGTAAGGCCTGTACTTTATTAAATGACAGCGTTGGCGTCTGAATGAGGTGAACAAACTTGAACTAAAATGTGTGTTGTGACTAAATGAAATCATTTTTTTCTTGATTACCAGGAAAAAAACACTCTGAAAATAGCCAGTATATTATTATTGTACATACCGAGTCTGAAAGCGCATTGAAAAGTGAAAATGTAACTTTTGCACATGCTATACTGTTAAAAAGTTTCCATATTTTTAAAAAGAAGTCTCTTATTGCTCACAAAGATTGCATGTATTTGATTAAATACAGGGTAGTTTTTATGCAATAAAATACACTAAAAACAGTAATATTGTGATATTAGAACAGTAATATTGTTACAATTTAAAATAGCTGTTTTCTATGTGAATATATTGTAAAATATAATTGATTTCTGTTCCAAAGCTTGGGGTCGGTAAGACTTTAAAATGTTTCTAAAAGAAGACTTTTCGATTCACCAAGGCTGTATTTATTTTTAATTTTTTTAAATACAGTAAAAACTCAAAAAAAATAGTGAAATATTTTTAGAACCTAAAAATAGCTGTTTTCTATTAAGTATGTGTTAAAATATAATTTATTTCTGTGATCAAAGCTGAATTTTCAGCATCATTACTGCAGTCTTCAATGTCACATGATCTTCAGAAATCATAATATGCTGATTTGCTGCTCAAGAAACATTTCTGATTATTTTCAATGTTGGAAACAGATAAATATTTTTGTGGAAACTGTGATACTTTTTATTTTTCAGGATTCACAGATAAATAATGCATTTATTAAAACAGAAACATTATAAATGTTTTTACCGTCACTTTTGATCAATTTAATGCATCCTTGCTAAATAAAAGTATGCATTTCTTAAAAAATACACTTTTCAACGTTACTGTATATAATGCAATATTTGAATTACAAGACCAATAAACAACACTGAGAATAGCGAGAGCTTGCATATTTATTCAACTACAGCTTAAGTTGCAAAATAACATATATATATCTGTGCATCCTTATAAAGATGACGAGGCTAGACTTCATGTTTTGTACACCAATCATACAGTTATTACAGAATAATTCAACACACTACAAGCTATTCACTGGCTATTTACAACACAGTTGGCATATCTAATCTATGAGAAGAAACTGTGAGGAGAATCATTCAGATCAGAAACAAAAGGAAGAGCAGAGAGCATGCGATCAATAAGCACTAAAGGAGAGACTAGAGCAAGCTGGGAGGGTCCCCACTGTAGTGGGAAAATAAATGGAAGACTAAGAAACTAACGTGGGCTTTCCAGTCGGACTCTGAATTAGGATTTCTTAAAGTATATGAACTGGAAGCAAAGACAAAACTGCAAATACCGAGTGACGATACCATGCTACTTAAATTAATAATAAGTATAAAGCTTTTGGTTCTCATCCTAAAACTCGTACAAAACCAGCCGCTAAACGTGTCAATGAGACCATTGGTTTTGCTGCTACATGTTTCGCCTTTGAAAATACATCGAAGGACCGCGTGCGCTAAACGGATGAGCGTTTTTGTTCTTGTTAGACTGCTGTAGGATAAATCTGACCTCAGCTGCCCTGTGTATGTACACTATGTAGACCACCGTCACCCTGGGACTACGACAGCAACCACATCCTCCGTGTTTCGCACTGATGTCTATTTGAATGTGTCCTTGATGTATCAGAAATTCGTCGCTAAACAAAAACATGAAATCGGCCGCGTAAGCTACCCCATCCTGTAAGTATGAGAGTTTGCTATTGCCAGACGTGACTATAGTGCCAGGAACTGTAACTACTCCTCGAATTAAACCTTTACATTAAATAGTGTTAAGAATTGCAGTTTTGTGATTGCTCCGACTGTCTCTAGTTTCAGAATTTTGCAAAAAACGAAACAAAACGCCAACTCTCCGGCAAATCTGTTTTTCTGTCCAATGAGAAAGCCACACAGAAACAACAAGGGGGAGTAAAGTCGATCCGATCCGAGTTACGACAACCAGACAACAAAGAACCAACACCTCTTCCAAACATGAAAATATCAAATAAACCCATCTGACCTTCTTTACCAAGGAGCAGATTAAAGTCCAAAATAGCACCATTTATCAGTGTCTCAAATCCGTGGCAGCATCTCAGTCACTTACCACAAGGAAACAATGCATCTCTACAGCTATTTCTATATCACAACGTACATGATTACACTTTAATATACTGGCAAAGCAACAAAAAAAGTTAAAAAGCAAAACTTAACAAGCAAATTCTAAAAAACTGAAACAAAAAAGATGAACTCTGTAGCTTTTTTTAGTAACTGCATGAGAAGTGGGGACTCTTAGCCTTAGTAAATACTGTAAGGTGTGAGTACTGACTGACGTTGACATGGTTTAGTGATGAAGACGTATGGATGGATCTGAGAGGGACGTCAAAGTGCTTCTGTGAATGTGTCTTTTGGTAGTGAGAGACTGATATAGTTGGCGATACTGTCAAAGTGGCCATGGGCTAACAGAAGTGCTAGTTTTGATTTCGAATACTTTTTAGAGAATTTTAAGTAAATAAAAGCTGCAAATGTGAGCCTGGAGCACAAAAGCAGTGTTAAGTCGCTGGGGTATATTTGTAGCAATAGCCAACAATACATTGTATGGGTCAAAATTATTGATTTTTCTTTTATGCCAAAAATCATTAGGATATTAAGTAAAGATCATGTTCCATGAAGATATTTTGTAAATGTCCTACCGTAAATATATCAAAACTTAATTTTTGATTAGTAATATGCATTGCTAAGAACTTCATTTGGACAACTTTAAAGATGATTTTCTCAATATTTAGATTTTTTTGCACCCTCAGATTCCAGATTTTCAATATATTTAAAATATTGTCCTATCCTAACAAACCATACATCAATGGAAAGCTTATTTATTCAGCTTTCAGATGATGTATAAATCTCAATCTCGAAAAAATTGACCCTTATGACTGGTTTTGTGCTCCAGGATCACAAATAATCTAAAGTTTCAGTTTGGCAATTCTGTATACAAGTATGTTGCATTACTTCAGTGCAATTGATCAATTAAAATAAAATCACGTTATGGAACAATTTCTAGACGATTAAATAATTAAGAGCAGCGCATAACTCAAAAAACAGAAATCATATTCACTTTCCATGACTTTTATACAATTCTATACATTTTCATGTACTTTCCAGAGCTACAAATCACAATTTTAGGATTCACTGATATTTGACCATGCACTGTTAAAAATAATAAGAAAAAAAATCAAAGTTCCAAATAAAACAGATTATATGAGTATGTTTTGCAAGAATATACTTTTCAGTTCTTTCAAAAATATTGCAATAAATGCAATGTGTTACTTGCCTTTCTTTGTAATTACTTTTGAAATGTACTTCCAATTTCTGAGTGAAAATTGTTTCTACACCAATTTTTGGGTGAAATTTAATTTCTGAGTGAAAATTGTTGTCTACATTTTTTTTTATTTTTTTTTAATAAAATGTTTTTAATTTCTGATTGAAAATAATTTCTACACCAATTTGTTTGTTTTTTGGGTGAAATTTCTTTATGCGTAGAAATAGTTTCTTCACCAATTAATGGGTGAATTTTTGAGTGAAAACTGTTTCGACACCAATTCATGTGGGAACCCTGATGTTGTTAAAAACACATATCGGTCGCTAGCGTTTGTCACATTGCATGTCAATACAGAACACCGTTAACATTTCTCGGTGGGTTTGTTCACAGAGGTATGAAAGAGTCCAGCCGTGTAAAGTTGAAGTGGACAAGTGGAAGACGTGCCGCTGCCGCCGGACCCCCGAGGGCCCCTGTGGAGTTTGCAAACACAGACATGTGGGTCTTTAGTGAAGCTCCAGTCTGTCAGGTCTGTCTTGAGGTGCTGTGTGTCTTTACTGCCGCCCCCTCCGAAGAGCATATCATCAAGGCTTAGAGTCCCAGGTTTTTCTAAAATGCTATTAATCACATAGATGGGGAAATAGCCCCAGCGTCATAATTCATCTGTACCGCACGCCATAACCATAAAAAATAAGGATATACATGATTTAGGAAATAAAAAAGAATAAACATGAGGATACAATTTCCCCAGAGGGCCGTTCTCTATCCTGCATCCGACAGAAGGAATGTCGATCTTTCGTGGTCGTTCCTCTCCGCGCCACCAGGTTCAGGAACACCGCTTTGAGCTCTGAGGAAGTGAACGCACAATAGAGGGAAGTCACCGAGCGCTCGGGATGCTGGGATATCATCAGAACACTGTGATTACTGCGGGACTCAACCTACCTAATGGGATCCCCCATTGCTCCTGTTGGTGTCATTTTGAAGAAACAAGCTGCAGGAGAAAAGGACATTTTTTATTATGATCAATTATTATTAATATTATACTGTCATCATTTACTCACCCTCATGTCATTCAAAAAAATAACACACAGGTTCCAAACAACATATTGGTCTGATTGAACAAAAAAAGGCTTGCACCCAAAATTAAGATCCTTCATTAAGATGTTGATGTTGATTTATTTTACATCTGGTAATTTAAAAAAGGTCTTTGTTAAAGAGTTACAAGCCATGAACCGAACTGTCCATCTGCAAGGAAAGTCACAACATTACAAACTTTGGCTTGAAGCAAAAAAAAGTATCTCAATATATTTTAAATCTATATATATATATATATCTGATTGGTGGACATTCTTTTGAGGAACCATGGGAAATTGAGTTTTTCACCAGGAAATTATTTATTAAAATAATTTGAAATAATCCAGGCTGATGGCTTCAACCAAAGCATATACCATTATTAAAAAGGGATAGTTCATCCAAAAATGAAAGTTTGCTGAAAATGTGCTCACCCTCAGGTTATCCAAGATGTAGACGAGTTTGTTTCTTCATTGGAACAGATAATTAGCATGACATCACTTGCTTGTTATTAAAACGTCTTGATGGATTAGTTTCAGCTTTTGTCTTCTCCAGATGTTACCTGATGGACTGGAGTGCTGTGGATTACTTGTGATGTTTTTATCAGCTGTTTGGACTCTCATTCTGACGGCACCCATTCACTTGAAGTGAACAAGTGATGCAATGCTACATTTCTCCAAATCTGATGAAGATACAAACTCATCTACATCTTGGATGACCTGAGGGGGAGTCAGTGTTCATTTTTGGGTGAGCTATTGGTAGCTCACAGTATGTCTCTAATAAGTCAATATTAATAATAAAAGAACCTATGGAGAAAATGAATGGAGTTTTCTGTTGCACCCTATTACAAAAATATCACATTTTTGAGATGCATGCATAACATCTCATAAATTTAAGGTGGTAATCTCTGCTCTGAAGAAACAGTCATCCTCCCACCTTCCTGCTGAGTCAGACGAAGACGAAGACGAAGACTAAATCTATCTGATGCACTCGGTGCAAGCCTGCAACATGCACCGTCAAACACAAATGCAACAACAGTGCAAGCATATGCACTTCTTTTCTAAAGCAAACGCAGATGCCTCCCATTCCACTTCCCCGACTGCAGCTTGGAGCGTTTCCAAATCCAGTCAAAGGAGGCCACTCTTCTCCCCCCCCC